CGGACTCGAAGGGGACCTGAAAAACAACACAAAAAAAAAAAAAAAAAAAAAAAAAAAAAAAAAAAAAAAAAAAAAAAAAACACAGGCTTTTTCTCCCCAAACCTTACTTCATAATTGCCCGGGGCAGTTTCTTGCGCAAGGAGGCTGTATAAAGAGGCGGATTGTGTTACCTTTGGTTTTTTTACATAAGCATTTTCCCGTGATGGAAAATTCGGCCACTGCCTCGAACTTTCCACTGATTCATTTTTTTGGCCAGCAGCTCCCGCGTGCACAGACAGGGAGTCCTTCCCCACAGCCCTCCCCTTTGCCCCCACCCCCGCCTCCCCTTTACTAGCATACAATTAACATCATCAGGAACCAGCCCTGCAGCTAATAGGTGAACTCGCGACGATCCACGGTAGGTGTGTGAAGGGAAAGGCGGCAACGATCCCAGGCGAAGCTTTTGGGCTGGATCTGCAAAGTGCCCCGCTGATGGGGCATCTGCCCTTCCATTGCTCCGCAGCAGGGGAGGCGCCGACCTAGGGGTAAACACCCTGCTGGGGCAGAGGGAGAAGAGCCCGACTGCAGGAAATGCGAGGAGCTTGCGGGAGTCCCTGGGGTCTGCTGGGTGCATGTGCTGCCGCGCGCGTTTCCCTTTTCCCGCTCCGTTTTGATCCCGGTCCTGGGAAGCGCTCATTTCTAGGCTCCCTTTTGGCTGCGGGTATCCCGCGCAGGGCTCCTCTCGCTCTGCACATGTTCTTAGGGCGCCATCTCTTTGCAAAACCCTCCGTCCTCCAGCAGGTCTCCCAGAGGCAGCTCCGGGGCGTGTGAACATTGCAGGCTCCAGTCCAATCCAACCTGCGGAGCCAAGCATGCTTCCCAGCCGCTGAGCTTCCCGGCTACTGCTCCTCTTAGACCTCTCTGGCTCCCCAGCTTCGCAACACACTTTTGCTTGAGTTCACTTTCCTATGACACTGTGTGGACCCAATTTTGTGGAAGGGACGGACGTAAACGTGGTTTTCTTTTCGGAGGTATAGACAGATGTGTAGATGCGTTTCTCCCTGCCGTGTGTGTGTGTGTGTGTGTGCGCGCCTGTTTAGGGAAGAGGATAGCTGAGCTGACTTTTGGGAAGCCTTCCTTATCTGAAAAGGGGGTTTGCCTTTTAAAATTAAGCCCAGCCGCCTTCCAGACGCAGTTGAACAGGCTCAGGCGGACGCGCGCTTTAACCCGATGCAAATGCAAATGTGAGCTCGACTTTTTTTTTTTTTTTTTTTTTTTTTAAGCAATATTAAGAGAGAGTTTGCCTCCGAGTAGCTGGAGAGAGAGAGGGAGAGAGAGAGAGAGAGAGGCGGAGGGGGCAGCGAGGAAGGGAGAGGACGGAACAAAGTTTGGGAGCGGGGAGCCTCTGCCGAGAGTTGAGAAAGTTTGTTTTTCCTTTGCAATCTCGGAGCGGGTGAGCCAAAAGCAGGGACCGGTTGGGGACGGCGCTGGTGCATGTGTCTCTCAGGACTGAACTTCCTTTCCTTGCAGGTTTTAAGATCCGGAGGATACAATGTTCACTAAACTCTTCCAGCAGTGGAGTTTCGCAGTGTTTCTGCTGAGCTATTCCGTGCCCTCTTACGGGAGATCAGTGGAGGGGATCAGCCGCAGACTGTGAGTTTCACTTTTCTCGCTTTGATCCTTTGCAAATGGGGAGGAAAGCTGGTGGGAAACGCACCCGCGGTCCGGCTTGCAGCCGGAGCAGCCTGGCAAGGGAGGGGCTCCGGATTTACCTGTCCTAGGTGCCCTTATCACTGGTTTTGCGAATAATTAGTAGGTGAAGGGGCTTTTGCGAGCAGCCACTTGTGCCAGGCAAAGGGCGATTTTCAGTTCTCTGATCTTATAAAACTTTTGGACAAGGGGATGTTTAACTTGTGTGGGGAGCAGCTGTGCGTTTGTCCAGTGTGCCCTGTTGCCTACACACCTCTCTGCATCCTGGAGGGTCTTAGGAGGGAGTATTCCATTTTATCAAACTCCTGTATGTTAGGTACTTCATTATACGCCCTTTTACACCCTGGCACAGAGCCAGTATTGATAAGGCTAGTGAAAATACACAATAGCTTGGGCCATCATGAAACTGAAGTACTGAGTATTTAATCTGGATTTCTGACCCATTACCAATAGTTTTTTCACTCGGAGCCGACTATCTGACTTGGAGGCAGAAGCGTGTTTTTGATAAAAGATAATGTAACTTAAAAGATTCTGGTCAGGAAATTACTTCTTTGCTTCTTCCAAAATAATCAACATGGCTCATACAAACACCCCCTAGGCAAAGTGTAGCAGAGAAAACACTGGGCTGATGTAGGAGCAGTTGTCTTGCCCTTGTAGCTCTGTGGGCGTTTCAGTGGTGGACTTGCACCAGATTTTCTAAGGAAGGAGCCCTTCAGTCTCTACTGTGAAGGCCTCTTAAGTCCAATGGGAGTCAGAAGAAAGAGGATTAGAAAATCCAATCACACCATACAGGGTAGCGTGACAGAGGAAACGTAACTCCAGAGAGGTCCTCTAGCGACTGCTTCGTTAAGTGTACAAAGACAAGAGCTCCAGATATCTCGTCCTCTTCCATTTAAGCAACAAAAAAAAATTCCAGGTGAAGTTACTTCAGACATGCCTGAACTTTGGCACCAAATAGAAAGCTATTACAAATCTCCTAGAGCAATTCTGTAGAACATTGTATTGATGATAATGCTCCAGTGTATTCTTTCCAGCTAGTCTGTACTCCTGCAAACTACCCTTGGACTATTTCTTTTTCTTTTTTTTTCCTGGGCCTGTTTTCCTCTCTTTGGCTGTACAGAGAACGCAAATTTCAGTTTCATAAATAAAAATAAATAAAAGAAAATAATTGGAATACAGTCAAATACTGTATTTCCTTGGCCAAGAAACTCTGAACTGGATTTAAGCCAAATTTGTTAGAAAGTTTAGAATTGCAAATAAATGCTCTTTCTCCTTTTTAACTTAGGATTGTTCTAACCCTTGCTTTTAAAAGTCAAGAGTAGAGATCTTTCCACTAGCCCTATTTTGTCTTGACAGAGGGGAAAAAAAAAAGTGGAAACTAAATAGTAAAAAAATAAAATTTTCAACTCCTGCTTTGCCACAGCATGTAAAATACACACAAGAAGCCAGTTAGGTCTCGGTTAGTGGCATTCACGTAGTTTTGTTTGTGGGTACAGCACAAACACAGACACCACAATCAAACATGTGTCCTGTTTTAATATCACCACAAACCATTCCTAGAGGTAATGGTTAATAAGTCACTTAAACCTAGAGATATTTTTTTCAGTCAAAAGAAGGCTTAAACCAGTAATGGATAAAAATACTGAAGCACATTATTATAGTCATGTTAAAAAGATAAAGAAAAAATAAAGGCAAAATGACACAGGCCCAGTTTTGCAGACCTTACTAAGGCAAATCTCCTATGAAAAACTGCCTACCACTGCAAACTGACCCCAGAAAAGATTGCCAGATTTTGCTATTGTTATACAAATGCTGCTAAAGAACTTTTGGGAAATCTAGTTATGTCATAAAGTGAAATTAGATATTTTTATCAGCATGCCCAGATACTGCAGCATTATGTCCCCGAGTCTGCTGAAAATATTTTTCCTAATTCTGAGATAGGCTGAGCAGCTTTCATTCCCTTTGGAGCCAGGCAAGGGCACACAGAGTCTTGCAAAGTCCAGATAGAAAACTCGCTGAAGCCTTTCCACTTATTTTGCTGATCTCATAATCAGACTCAACGGGAATATTCAAGGATAATAACAGTAAAATAAGAACATTTCTGAGATAGAAAGCTGGTGCTTAAAGGATGTTACTTTTCCATGACATGAGGTAGCTAGTGAAAAAGAAAAATGAACAAAGAATGTGTCTGAAAGAACAAGTTATCAGGAAATAAGTGTTTAAACACTTTCTTTATCAGGAAATAAGAGGTCAGAATGGCCACAAGTCCCGGATTTCTACTAAGCGGCTTTATTTTATTTTATTTTGTTTATAAGGAGATATTAAATCTTGTATGTGTGCAGTATACTTGGATATAATAATTAGTTTGGGCACTTTGGCCAAATACCATCATCACCATCCTTCTCTCAAAATGCCTACCACATATAGGCTTGGCATTTACTGCACTTGGTTTGGGATGAGACTCTTTTTCCTTGGATGAGAAGTGTATTTTAATAGAGGATGGAAAGGACCTCTAGTAGGTCATCTTAACCCTAACAGCCTGATATTTCTTACATTTCATACACAAAATGAGAATACAATCATTTTGGTTTCCATTTCCTCCCTACCATGTGTGTGGGTGAGATGTTGATATTTTGATCATGAAGCACTTCTTACATCAACCTTGTTGGGTAAGTTCTTTTACTCTGGTTTACAAACACAGGAGTTGTTTGAATGATGGAGCTGAGGGATGGAGAAGGTCAAAGAGATATGTATCTACCGCATCTTCATTTTAGGCAGATTTTCGATCTACGGTATACAAAGGAAATTGGTAGGCAAAATGCAATCCTCAAGTCTGGTTGAGTAATAGAAGTCATGTGAAATGTAACACTACGTAATGTTATGCAATCGTCTGGAATAGCAGAACGTTATTTGGGGCCAGACTTGATGCTAAATATCATACAGACATTTAAACAGAAACCCACCCTCTTTGGCACACTAATTTTCACACATCAATCCTTGCATTATTTTGGAAATGCATACTCACATAAGATGTATGTTCTGTAATGCTGTTTGACTGTCTTGTGTGTATTGGAACCAAATCTTTATGTTTCAACTCTGTAAAAATGGAATGACTTTTCAAACAAGAGACCTTTAATAACAGGCTTTGAAGAGTCAGGGTTTTGTAAGAGTGGGTAAATTGACCAAATACACATTACAGGATTAAGACAGCTTTAGATTGTCTGTGATAAAAGGAATCCTTGATACTTTACAAGAGATGGTAGGAAAGCTTTGCTCATCACATGAGACATACTATTTTAAACTTAGTAAAGCACTAAGATTTTGTCTGCTTTTTATAAAGTAGAAGAGTGAAAGGAGAAACCTTTCCCATTTCCCATGGAAATAGCCTGGGAAAATAGAGTTCTTAAGCTAGGAGTGTAATCTGAGTCACTAGGGATAAATTGAGGAGCAGCACAAAATTATGCCACGCAGAAGAGTCCAAGGTGATAGTTTTATTAACATACTCGCAAATCAGTCTGTCCTTAACAAGAAGGTGGTTAGAGATGGCTGTTGGAGAGCTTCAGTGAGTGTACGTTGGAGAGCTTCAGTGAGTGTACTGGTCAAAACAGTTCTCCTGGGTGAGATCTTGAGCTTGTGTTAATGGTCGCAGCTGCACTGAAGAGAATGAAACAATATGGATTGAGCTCAGTATTATCACACTGTATTTTTGCTGAGAATCATTGAGTTGAAGGGTATATGCCTCCCCTAAAGTCTGAAGTCATCTGATCTGTTTTGGGGATACATAAAAGAAGGACAATGTTGGGGTAGATGTGCACTCACAAACCTTTCAGCATATCTAGGCCTGATTTTGAGCAAAATGCCTCATGACGCTCACTGTCATTTTATGTCAAAGCTGCAGCCATCTTTCAGTCTTATCTTAAAGTAATGGAGAGCTGATGTTTCCGTTTGATTTTTGCACTAAGTCATGAGCACTTTAGCCTAAACTCAAAAAGTTCAGATTTATGAAGACAAAAAGTGTCTTTGTAAAGAAAAAAAAAATAGAAATGGGGAAAAGTATAGATGGGATAGAAGGAAGAAATATTCACGCACATTGTTACATGTAATCACCCATTTCATCCACCTTCAGAAGTAACTGTGTATCCAGCTAACTGACCAAATTATTATATGACAAACAAGGCGCAGAATTAATTTTCTTTGTCTAGTAAGGATCCAGTCACATGTAGTACCCTTGTGCAAGATAAGAGTCAATCTCAGCAAAATGAAGTAGGGCAATTGGAAGCATAAATTATATTATAACATTCATGGGAACATAACTGAAATCCCAGGTCGCGCTCTTGCTGTGTTTCACAGTGCAGCTGTACATTTATCCTACAGCAAGGAAAAAGTGTGCATTTTCTCATGTCTATTTATTATCCAGGTGCCACTTTTGTCTTCCTTCTTTAAAAGTTTCATACCTTATTTGCCATTAAGCTTCTCTGAAAAACAGATTACTAAGCCACCACCCAATTTCCTCAAGAACAAGGCAGATGTTAGTGGACCTAAACATCCCAGCAGCAGCAGTGATGAAAGAGTACCAGAAATCTCTTCAAGCAAACAAAGATGCTCTGAAGGAAGATTCAGTGAAGAAGGGTAGCGTCTAAGACCCTGAGAGCACGGACAATAAGGCCCAAAAATTCACCCTTAAGGGAGTTATCAGGAAGCCATCTGAAACCAGGGTTAGACACTGGTGGCCAAGGAGTAGAATCACTGCTGATTTTCAGTCTGCCTGTCTGGATATCTCATTATGGGCTGAAGTGGCTATGTCTTACGCCCCCAAATCTGAATATTTTTCCATTACATTTCAGCAATTGCACTTATTTAAATTTAGAACTGAAATGCACTTTCATGTGTTTATGTTTTTTAAGTACATGACTGAGCAGAGGAAAATTTAGAACCATAAACATCGCTTCCGGCTTCAATATTTGTTCCCTCTCTTGTTGGATTGCATTATTATGCACTCAGTTGTTTGAGCCCCTAGTTCTCCTGTCTCTGGCAATTGCCTTCTTGGTTTTACTGCCTGAAGTGTGATATATAAAGAGTTTTAATGCTTTCCTAGAACAGAGCAGTGACTAATCCAGCTACAGGTCTGGTGGCGTATGATCAGTCAGCTGTGAATTGTTAGTGGCTTAGGTCTTTCCCTTCCCTGTGGGGAGCAGCTACTCCAAGAAGGAGAGCTTGCTCCAATAGTCTAACTTAGCTCAATGTCTCCAAACTGGAGAGCTGGTAAGCAATTACTGAGGCCACTGCTGCCCAAGGAGACAGTTCCAGGCTTCAACAATAAGCAAATTCTAAATATTCTTTTTCTCCTTCTGCTCTTCTCTTTCTTTAGCAAAAGGGCTGTATCTGAGCATCAGCTACTGCACGACAAAGGAAAGTCAATCCAAGACTTAAGAAGAAGAATCTTCCTTCAAAATTTAATTGAAGGTGTCAACACTGCAGAAATCCGTGCGACTTCAGAGGTTTCACCTAATCCTAAGCCTGCTACCAACACAAAGAACTACCCTGTCCGATTTGGCAGTGACGATGAGGGCAGATACCTAACTCAGGAGACAAACAAATCGCAGACCTACAAGGAGCAGCCCCTGAAGGTATCAGGAAAGAAAAAGAAAGCAAAGCCTGGAAAACGTAAGGAACAAGAGAAAAAAAAGAGGCGGGCCCGTTCGGCTTGGATAAATCCTGACATGTATGGAAGTGGTACGACAGAGAACCCAGTCTTGGACATCTTTGCTACTACACTTGATCACACTTTAAGGTAATTCTGCCATATCTTTTCCAGGACACTACCATATGTTTAAAGAAATTGCTACACTCCTGTGCATGAGGTCAAGGCCTCACTTGTTCCTGGAGTCTTAGCACATCTTTATGCTAATAAATGGGCATATAGCTTTTCAAGCAGTGTGCAGTCTCATAGCACTTTCTGGAGGTAAGTATTCTTTCCCTTGTGCACTGAGAATTTTGATGCCAGGAAGCAAACATTAGCTTCACAGAGTCACTCAGTGCCATAGCAGGGTCAACCTCATGGCCCTCTCTCTCCTTCAACACAATATTGTCTTCTTTTCCTGTAGCCAAGAGAGTGAACAATCAGCGTGATGGTCAAAATGAGCTCCTTGAAACTGATTCTTTAGGCAAAATAAAGATACTTCTGCTGAAAGAATGCACATCACAGCCATAAAATCTCCTCTACTGTTTTTATGTGGTATCTCTGACTTCAGAACTTGGTCCCACATTTGGGCCTCAGCAGACTGAAAGCTTTGAGAACTGTTTAAAGCTCTTTAAAGCTCTGCATCTATAAAATGGCAAAGTTTTCTCTCCTCTCTCTCAACACTCCCTTTTCTGGCAACTTTCCTACCCTTACTTTACAGTTTTTCATTTTACTGTTTAACCTTAGGGGAAAACACAGAAAATTTCTTTCTTAGTAATATCTGCGAACAACGCAGACCAGCCTTTTGCTATAAAATTTTCCCTGCCATTAGGACTTTTTAATTCAGCTCCATCTTTTTGCCAGCTCGTGAAACAATTACATTGTGGCTGAAAAATGCTGAGCATTGCTTTTGGAGAGAGAGACAAGCTTTCTTCCTGTATGACAATGACAAGTTCTCAGGGCAGCACTGAGCTGGAGTCTGAAGCCTAGGTGCTCCTAGTGACTTGTACACTTGCAGTCATCTCAATTTGATAGAGGTCTGAACATTTGGAGAAAAAAAACAAGCAGTTCATTCCTCAATTCTCAGAAGTTTTCATTTCCAGCAAAATTCCCTCACTCCCTTTTCTCTCCTCCCTTCCACTTTGGCTAAAAAGAGAGTTAACAAAAGGGCCACTTGCTCACAATAAGACCCTTAGGAAGAGATGCCAGCTGTGGGATTTACTAAAATTCTTCTTTAAGTTAAGCTTTATGAGCCTGCAGTTTGCAATGTGCTCTACTGCCTCAACTTTTGCTGGTACCTATAGGAGTTACTGACATTGACCTCTTGGCCTCACTGGAAGGCATTTGGCATTCCTAACCATAAACCGGTTAGCGTAATGTTAGCAATGTGTGGTGAGGTAACGAAGGCTGGTTTTCATTCAGTGCCTTAGGAAAGGCACGTTCTGGGACTTTTATCAGGAGATGACTGAAGTTTCAACAGATGTTAAGAAACTGTTATGGTGAACAAATAGCTCCTGTCTTACGCATGCACAAATCTTATATGTAGGGGAAAAAAAATCCAAAGGCATTTTGAGTATTATTTGTTTTTATGACTATTTCTTTTGTTGTATATCCAGTGGGATCTGTAAATGAGCTACAGACACAATCCTCTAGATTTTCCTTATTTAGACTTGGTTTCAAACACATTTGGATGACTAAGGGCAGTCAGCCCTTAGACTTAACTTTAACCTCCTGACATTACTGTCTGAGCTTCGTATTTATTCCAGAGGGAAAAACAGTTTCCCAATGGGCCATGTATGTATTTCAGATACCTAATTGAAGATGATTAAATAAAGAGAAACTATAGAACAGGAATACAAATATCCCCTTCCCAAATGTGGAATATAATGTGCAAATTCAGCTTTTAGAACTGGCTACTATATCAGGCTCTATTTATTTGAGTAAGATAGAAAAAGGTATTGCTTATGAAATTTTAAATGAAGACAAGTGCCAGGTCCCTGTGTATTTTAGATAGGAGTCAGGTTTGATGCAGTTTTTCATGCTACTGCTGGGACAAGGTGGACAAATACATTTCAGCTCAGATGACCACATCTGAGCGAAGTTCATTCCACAGCTGTATGGAGCTGAAACAGGAACTTCTGCTCTATCTGCTGGGTGGGGATGAGGAAGGCATATCCAGTCAGGATATCCATATGTTATATCAACAGAAGCGGCTTTTGTAGCACCTCTAAAACTAGCTACAGCTCAGAAGAAGCACCACTACATTATGGAGGAGAAATGGATATGCGTAATATAGCAAGGCAGATGTTGAGGAAGTGCAAAGATAAACTTTGAGTCAGCTTTTCACATCATCACTCTGTTTCCTTTCTGTTCAAAAGGCTGAACTATAATCCTCATGCCAATTCCCTCCGTCATCCCAGAATCTTAGGCTCAGGTCAGAACAAAGACTGAAAATGACCTGCTCTCTAGATCTTTTGACTTACTACAGGAAGAAACTCATAAAATTAGCTGGTCTTGCAGTATTTGGGACCAAAATCACAGAGAGAAGCTTGCAAGTTGGTGATATGGAACAGTCATAGTTGGTGACTGTGTTCCAGTTCAAACCTATTAAGCCTTAATCCAAACCAGAGTGAAAATGTCAATGCCTTGAAAATAGGCCCATAACGTGCAGACTCACATATACAGTTTTGCTGCATAAATTATGTGACCATCTTTATGTATATTATAATATACTTTGAATATCAGTATTGCTAGTTGATTAATAGTGAATCTCATGCTAACATTTCCATTCTAGGCACTTACTTAAAAAAATCTTTCTCATGGATGTTCCAAATACCCATTCCAATTGAATTTAACTGTTATTACCTAATTTCCTGAAAAATCTTTCAAATGAGTAAACTGCCTACTGTTAAATGTAGTCCTACTTGCACAGTCAATGTACTTTGATAAATCCTTAAATTCTGAAGAATTTGGCTTTTTTTTGTGCCTCACACCCACACATGCCTGGACCACCACGTACAGCTTCGCTGACCAGTCCAGCAGCATAGCAAATCATACTCTACCTTATAGTTTCACATTCCACCCCATAGTCATTTCCAAGGAAACAAACACACATTACAGAAATGTACTGCATATAGATAGAAGGGGGAAAAGCCAAAGCCTTCATTATTTCCGAAAGCACAGATAGAAAATAATTTAAAATATAATATTGTACTGTAAGTAATGTACTGACAGGATAGGAGCAAATCCTGCTTTTGTTCTCATTAATTCACAAAGAAGGGGGGGTTACTGAATTTATACCCCTCTGTCAGCAAATAACACTTCCAAATTTTAGGGAAGCTTACAGGAAGATGCTGAGGATTCAGCCTTTGTTTAGTTCCTCAGGAGATGTGAGTACTCAGAACTTTAACAGGAGACACTCATTTTCTTTCAGGATCAAACTCTTTGGCTGACAAGCTACAGGACTCTATTATTTTTTTTTTCAAGCAATAAGAGAAAATTTTGATAAAGCATTAGTTTAGGACCTGAACAGACTTTATTGAAGAAAAATTCATGTACAAGTCAGGATAGTATATCTCTAATATAAATAGTCCTTTATATAACACGTGGTCATTACTGGGGAAGATAGCCCAAAGGACTACTGTGGAACAGGTATAATAGGAAGCCTGACTTCATATCCAAGCAACTCACACAACAGACATGAGTGCCACAAAGAGAAAATAATGATTTTTATTTTTCTACCTTAAAAACTATTTTCCCATTTCTCCCACTATATTTTCTCTTTGGAGCTTCTTCTATTTGATACAGATTGATATAATCTTTCTACCCATTGCATTCAGGAATATTCTTGCAAAAGTCTTAAGGAAAGCCAAACATCTTCCTATTTTTCTGAGAGGAAAACACAGTGGAATATAGGGCCTCATTTTCATGACAGACTGCAGATTTTCTACTGTTAGTTGTATTTAATTGAAAGCAATATAGGAGAGACAGTTTAATAGATGTTTAATACCTTATTACTGTTAAACTAGATTTGTTAGTGCAAAAGTTTAATAGCAAAGCATACTCCTTACCTGTGGCAGTCTTTCTTACCCTTATTTTATGTCCATGTGTTTGAAATGAAAAATAATTTGTTTTTACTTTTTTGTCTTTTTCTTTTCTTTGCAGGAGACGCTGACACTTTCAGCAAGAGGTTTTTGGAAGACATATTGCAGTATTCTGTAATAGTGAACATATGGGAAGTATTAAAATATTTATTACCTGTAAATATTGTAAATGCTAAGAATAAAACCTTTTTTCCCCATTGCTCTCTGAAACTGCACATTTGGTTATTGTGAATTTCCCCATTTTTGGCTAAGGCTAAGACAATTATTATTGTCACACCATAATTTATTTTGTTGACTAGTGTATTTATTTTGTGAAAGTATCTTGGTGCTGCTGACTTTCTATATTTTTTGTAACATAATGCACTTTAGATATACATACCGAATACATTGATAACTGACATAAAATGTTCCTGTTTTGTGGTTGACTTCAATGAATGCCTACATACAATTGTTCAAATGGATTTTCCTTTGTGCATGTAAAATAGCAGTATTTTAAAATTTGTAAAGAATGTCTAATAAAATGTAATCTAATTAAATCATGACTTAGAAGGAGAAATGTGTCCTTTAGGAATATCAAGAGCAGGAATATCATTTTTTTCTTCACTACATTTGAAATTGGTTTTAAATTTAATATGTTTACATTGGTTCAAACTTCCACATTTTCACATTAGCTTTTATTTAAAAATCATTATATAGACATTTTTTGTTTCAGTGTTCTATTTCAGCACAGTTGATTTGCTGAACAACCTGGGGGTACTGCCATGTAGCTTAGACCCTGTTTTAGGGAAAACATGACTCCCAGCCTTTCCAGCCCCCAGCCATTCAAAGGCTGAAGTGTTCCACTCTCCAAATGAGACGATGTGAAAACCAGTCCCAGGAGCCACATTAGTTACTGTATTCTTGTAAGGTTCTCACATGTCACACCCCATAGTCTTGTGCAGAAACAGACAGATGCACTGTATCCTCAGCTCCCACCAACTTCATTAGGAGATAAAAATTTCTATCATATGAGCAGAGAATCTCAATCCTTTTTACTTTGGGGATACCTTGTATTAATGTTACCAGTTGACTATATAAAGAGGAAAAAAATCAGAAACTGCAAAAAGTACTGATAGATGCTGTTACACTGTGAGAATTACCTTTCCTCCAGGATATTGCTCTGTTTCTGAAAAACATCTTCATTAATTTTATTTGCTTTTACACATACAGTTAATGGCAGTTAAGGAAGAGGCTGTCTTAATTTTTAAATGGCCACTGGCTGAAGAAAACTACAGATAATGATAATCATCTAGCTTTTTTTTTTTAAAGGAACACAAGCCCTCCTTCCTATCCACTATACTGACACATATCGTTCTTTACTGCTACCCAGATGTTAATCACAATGGCTGCTGAGGGGGGCAATCTGAGGAAAGGACATTTTTTCACAAATATATTTGCACCTGGTGAAGTCCTACAGTCCCCCAGCCCCCACTCCTGTTGACATCAGCAACATAAGAAAAATGCGTGTGTGGAAAAATACATTATGAAACCTGGGAATTTTAAGATAGTTCTTGTAATTGCTGCTCCATTCTGTAGTTGCCAAGCTTCTCTTTTTATTCTTCCTTTCTCTTTTTTAAGTGCCATCTTTTTCCATTGCCAAAGAACAGCCATCATATAATATGAAACAGATGTCTTTCTGCTCTCTCTACCCAATCTTGCAGAAAACTACCTCCAAGAAAATATCTGAAAATTTGAGAAAAACTTAACCATTCTCTCTCATCCATATTCTCTAAAGTGTGAAATTCAATGCTTATTTATGTCCAATTAATTATTACAACCACCAGGCACATGCATACTTTCTTTTTCAGATTAAAAATACTACACATGAAAAAATGTAGAACAACTTCAGGGTTGCATTAAAGAAAAAGCCATAGTTGCTGCACATTTTCAAGTTGGCCTCTTTGCACATCCTGCCTATTTATAGTATCCAGTTAGTTCTGGATTTATACAACTGAACTTAACTACAATACATTCAGATGAATTTGCATCTCAGGATTACCAGCATATCCCAACTGGAATGCAAAACTAAAGCTGTGATAGGCAGAGGCAGTTTATATTAATCAGAAAGAATGATTATTGTCAGAAAGAAGCACAGGGGGCATATACCAAAAGCACATACCCAAACGCTAATGCTTGGCTCTATAAAACCAACCACTTCATAAAACAAGGCCCAATTCTGTAGTGCCTTCAGTTTCCCGTACTGTACTGGGGAAAATGTAAGTGCACTAAGGGCTTACAATTATTTTCCCATTTACAGGCTTTACAGAATTTGCTATTATAGCAATTTTAAGTACAGTCCTGGTTTTTCTTATAGAACATTATGGGCCTCATAAAAGCTATCTATGGATCCTGTAGTTAACAGAGTATAGTTTGAAAGACACTGCTGCAGACCATTAGATTTTGTTCTACAAGGCTGAATGCAAGATTTCTGAGTTTCCAGTTTTCAAGAAAATAATTCCTGAAGAGTAGTTACGAGACAAACTACATCAGTTTTATCTTCCTAACTGTGTGAGACAAAAAATGGAGAGACTTCAATTTCCCACACAGCTCAAACCCAACTTTTTAACTTGATCTGTAGGATGTGTCAGAGAGCCTTCACTACTCTGGAATTACCCAGATATTTTCTTACACACATCAAATGTGATCTATGTTCATTCCACTGGAGAAAAAAAAAAAAAAAAGGTGCTAAAACTTTAACTTTTGCATTGTACAACTTCTTGAAAGAAGTAAAGCCTGCATTACTAGAGCCTGTCTACACACATGTTGTATGTTGCACATACGTATTCTAAGCACACTTAAAATAGACAGCCTTAGACTTACAAAGGAAATGCAAGGCTTTGGAAGCACCAGAAGGAAGGTTGCCCATCCAATTTTCATCTGACCTCTCTGCTTACACTGTCAGGGCTAAGATCGCAGGATCACATTGACATTCCTATTTATTTCTCCCACTTCTCTTCCTTTTCCCTCCCCACAGTTTCTCTCCACCTTCAATCCCCCATCTCTGTCTTAGTCCTTCTCTGTCAAAAGCAAAGCCAGCTCTTGGCATTTCATCCAACATGATCCTCCCTATCCTCTCTTTGGTTTACTGTCTGCTTTCACCATTTCTGCAATGGTTTCTCTCCTCCTTTTCTCCATATCTAAAGTGCTTTGAGCTCTGTTTCTCCTGCTCTCACTATCCTTGTTCACACTCCGTCTTTCCTTCTCTTTGTCCAGCTGATCCCAAGACCTTCCTTACCCATATCCTTTGCCAGTCTCTTGGCTCAACAAATCTCTTCTCCCCAAACTGACTCACATGCACTGCTTTTGTCTTTCTTGAAATTCTTCACCCTAGCTTTTCTCCTGCTTGGTTATCCTGTTCCCTCAGCATGCACACCTGTTTCCTTTTGCACTCTACCCATGTGCCAACAAGAGAACAAGCCAGTGCACAGCAAGGATTCTTCTTGCTGGCATTTGCTTTACACAGTCCTACTTAAGTTCCTTTTCTGTTGAGGCAGGCATTATCAGGAAAGTCAGGCTCAGCCCTTGTAGTCTTTGTGCATGAGCCTGCTCAGATAGCAGGACAGATACATAGTCTAACAGCATGTGGGAGTTGGAAGGTGATGTGATATATTTGGTCATTTGGTAAGGAATGCACACATAGCATAGTCATGCACAAGAGCCTAACCTTGCTCAGTGATTGATGTTTTTACTGATAAAACAGTAAAATGGCCTCCATTGAAGGGATGTGGTATTTCAGAGAATTGCAAGTCGGCCAGATTTTCTTCAAGCTGATAAAAAAACTTTCTTGATGCAGAGAGCACATCCTGCTGAATTTCCATTTTTTTTCCCAAGTAGCAGAGATGCAAAAGCTTCTCAGCAGAGTTTCCAGAATGTTTTAATATAGTCTAAACCATATCTTATTTTTGTTTTGTATTGTTTTTAAAAAATATAGGACTGTTTTGGTTGAAGTTTTCCAGAAGGCAGTTTGCAAATTTTCATCTCGAGTGGTTCAAATTAAGGCAAAATTTCAAAGACATGATATCATATTTTCATGCTAGGAGATAGGGAGCTACTGTAGGAAAGTACCATGCAGTCATTCGACCTCTCAGCTACAGCTGACACATTCAGAAAGATTGTAACAGGACATTTCAAGGTTGGCCAACATCTCAAAGGGTATATCCCTAGCAGTTCAGTAGCTGTATAGTTCCATTTGCAGACTTTGTTTCCTCATCTTTTGTAAATGAAGACAGTCAAGACACACACAAAAGGCCAACATGGTTTACACCTACAAGAAATGATTGAAGCTCCATGCTCTCAAGGAAGAGATTTCAGGCACAGGAACTATTCGGCTTAGTTTTAGGCATTGACAGTCTCACCATGTAGACAGCACTGCTCCCAGTACAGTGCACCTGCAGTGTAGCATGCATGTTCCTCTATGAGTAAGAGCCTGTGATATCCTGAGCCACCACAGAGAACTTGATTGTCTTGCAGTAATTCATAAAGTAGGGGAATGTTATCTGTATTTCATTAGGTTATTTCAAAGTTTAAAACTTTTTCTTGTTTGGTCATAATGTCATGCTGATGAAAGGTTCTGGAAAAATACCTCTGGAGACCAAGGGTCTTTATCATAGAATAGATACAACAAGTAGAAGCAGTGCAAACTACCTTTCAACGCTCATGCCACCACCCCACTATGAAACAGAAATCCCCAGCATGAGAAATCAGGTCATGCAAACAACACACTCATTACAGAGGGCACAGAGACCATCAGAGTACTGAGGCCATTGCCCATGCTGATTAAAGGCTTCATGAACAAATACAAGAAGAGGCACTCATGGTTTTTTTGCCAGTTTTGACACTAGCAACACGGCAATGTCTTGGACAAATCAGTTTATTTCTTCACTCTAGTGAACAAGGTCAAACTTGCCCACATTTCTAAAATGTTCTGAGTTCTACCACTGAAAGTTTGCTGTGCAATTATTATTGTAATGTCCTTTTTTCATAATTTCATCAGATATTAATTAGTATCAGTCTTCACCTAGGTGAAGGTGACCATGCTGGTAGACAAACTCTGACCACCCATCCACCAAGATGACTTTCTAAAGATTGACTCCAGTGGAAGTTATGCACAGAACTTCCCACACAATTCTTCGAAAATACACCCCCTAGAGTCCTCTTTTTTAATCAGTTTCCTGGACTCTTCTTTTCACAACTAAAATAT